TGCCGTGGCGCCGTTTTAAAGCGCCCTTCTGTTGCCGCGCTGTTGTCGCAGCGGTGATGACGCGCAGTGATGACCTCGCGGCTTTAGTGACGCGCTTATATCTCCGCAGATAAGGGCTTCGTGGTTTTGTCGTGCCACGCCTGGATTGTACCCACCCCAACTTGGTAGTCAGAGCCAGAGGGCAGAGCCAGCCAAGGAGAAGAGCTGCCAGGCTTCCCTTTGGCAAATCAGGATTTGTTCTGCATTATTTTGCTGCGCAGGAGGATGGACAACACCTCCCCGTCTCCAACTCCCTTACCCAAATGCGGGAGGGCGGGAGCCACTCTTTTGCCTAAGCTGAGAGCCGAATGCTGCATGCATCCCTCTGCTAGAGAAGGGCCTTTCCAGCCCAGCTGGTTCTGGCAGGCTCAGATGCCCTCTTAGAGGGAGGCGGAGGCCCATCACACGCCTGCAGTCACCAGTGGCCAGAGGGCAGCAGCCCCCCCGAGTCCTCTGAGCAGAGGGCTCCTTTGCCCTGACCCTGGAAGGTGGATGTGGCCCCAGGGGAGTGCAGGGCCCACCCCCAGTGGGCATGATGGAGCAGTCCCAGAGGCTTTCTCAAGGGGAGGGCCGTCTCTTTTCCCTCCAACGTCCCTGCAGGGCTGGCTGTGTGAGAGCAGGGGATGTCCACAGGAGGAGGCCCCGCCAGCCCCCTCCCAGGGGAGCAGAATCCCACCCTCAGCCTGGCATCCTCGCTGAGCCTGTTCCCCCCCCCCGGGGGGGCTCCAAAGTCACGGACACAAAGACCCCCGCAGAGCCATCTTTCTTTATTGTGCCTCCCTTGCGCAGCAGGAAGTGGGGCGGGGAGGGTGCCTCAAGCCTTCTTGTCGTCCTTCTGCAGGAACCGCCGGGGGCCTGGGGGGGGAAGAGGCAGAGCCCTTGAGCTGGAGGGGGGCGTCAGGGCCTGACAGGCCTGGTCCTGCAGAGCCCTGGAGGCGGAAGGGTCCTCAGAGCGCCCCGTCAGCACCACCGCACGCAGCTCGGGCAGCTCAGCAAAGGGCACATAAGCTTCTCCTGGGGAGAGAGAGGCCACAGGTGTTGGGGGGCCCCTGGACAGCCGTGGGGACACGGGCCCCCAGGTAACAGCCTGCGTGAGAGTAAGAATGGGGCAGCCCCTGACCTGGCTCCCCGCGTAGCCCTTCCTGCGGCTCAGGGAGTTTCTGCTTCGGCTCATAAGCAAGCCCCCACCCAGCTGCAGCTCACTCCGCCCCTCTGACTTGGGGGGGTGAGGCGGCTTCTCCCCTGTGGGTGGTCTCTGTTCTTGGGTGCAGCTGAGCTGAGTGCAGCTCTGGGGTCTGCAAAAAGCCCCTCCCTCTGGGGCCCACAATGCCAGGGCACGACTGCCTTTGCCTCTTCCCCTGGGCAGTTTGGGATCCCTCCATAAAGATGACAAGCAGGGAGCAGACCTCGTGGCTAGAGCCCCACAACGGGATCTCCCTGGGGGAGCCCTGGATGACGGTCCTGCTGAAGGGGGGAGGAGGAAGGAGCTGACCAGGGGAGCGCCAGAGGGAGAGGAAGGAGCTGCGCTGCCTGACACCCGCAGCCCCAAAGGTTCCACCACAAAACCGCGTTCAACTAAAGCGCACTCGACGAAACCGC